AAGAACATAAATAATGATGTATTCAGCAACAATGCTAATTACTTAAATATTCTTTAAATATAGAAATATTCTTCAAGCATAAATATAAAAAGACAACAACTAGGAGAAACAGAACATAAATATTCTTCAAATAACTTAAATATAGAAATGGAAAATACACCAGAATGTCTAGCAGTCCATCACCAAAGGCAAACAATATATTCTGGAGCAATGATAATTACTCCTAGTGTCACTGTAACTACAATGGCTACTTTCAACCCTCTCTTCCCTCCATCTCTATTCAAAGCAGTAAATAGTTTAGAATCTATATATTGAACAAATTGAGAAATAAAGACAGCAAGAAATATAATTACATTTTTTGTCCCCCGAAATATTGAATCTACCAAGTTCAGAAGGGGCTTCGTTGGCCAAAACACAAAAAAAACAAAAACAAAAACAAAAAAGAAGTTCAGAATGGGCTTCACGAATCCACTGCTCCACTTGAGAATCATAAAATGTTGATTATGTTTCCAATCCAAGATATGCAGCCAATTGCAGCATCATATGCATTTTCTGTACAATTACAATCCTTTAGGCATTTCTCTTCTTGGAAGTTTCAAAAACTTATCACCTTTGCCAGTATCACTCCCATTTTTCACCTATCCCCACTGCAGTGATTCCCTTCTCACACATCCACTTGTCCAGTTTTGTCAATTCCATTCATCAGCATTTCAGAGGAATTTCTAGAATCACACCTTCCAAAAGCACCACATAAACCATAAATATCACGGAGTGAATCTCAGATTGGTGGCACCTCAGCTTTGTGTTTGTTCATCCAGGTGGTTAATACTAGTTTTCCTTCTGAACTCAAAACCAAAGGATCAAAGAAAGCCTCATTTGGCAAAGAATATGTGACGTGAACAGACCCATTTTCTTCCCTTCCTATATTGAATCCACTTAGATACTCTGCAGTATACATCTTGGCCAACCCAAAATACATGACCATTCCAAGGACCTGACTTCCAATATGGCCGTGTTTGATTCCAGATGAACACATCAGGGGTACTGGGGCGTTCCAGCCTGAGAGAGAAGCTTCCAATAGATGGATGAGGAGGGCTCTTCCATGATATAAACTTCACTTTCTCACCTGTCTTTTGGTTAGTACTCGTTACCAAAATTGCATCGAATGTATTACCTGAATGTTTGGAACTCTACCATAGTGTCTTCCCAGTATCGTCTAGCAGGACCAAGTTTCCCGTATTGAGAGGTTGGGCAGTGGAATTGGATGCCGCCTCTGATATATTTGATGTCTTTGATTCAAGATATCAAGATTCTTGTCCTCAGATACTGCAAGAATCCCGGAAGAATCCCTCATTGGTTGATTTTTGTGAGCTTACCCAGATGACATTGGAGACAGAAACATGCCAGATTCCTAGGTAGCGATTAGTTGTATTTTTGGGGCTGAAGAATCCCGGTTCAAACATACCAATGTCTGAGCTTGCATCTTCAGAATTTCTGATGAACTGAGATGTTGTAATGGTGTCTAAGGCAATGGTAAAATCTACAAAAAAGCCAGAAAGTACAAGAGCAACAGGTAATAACTTTCCAAGTGAACCGATTCCCATGATTTGAAAGAACGCTCTTCAATTTCAGAAAGCTTAGTATACTAAACCAAAGGGAACTATGACGTTACAGATCTTTTGTATGTAAAAGACAAATTTGCTCGTTATTCAAGAAGTAATTATTTTTATTCTTATTGTGAAGCACTGCTTTAAAGACTGCTTTTTGTCACTATGCTTGTTTACCCCTTAATTTTTTGTCCATAGTATTCTATCCACCTACCTTGGAATTTACATATACGCATCCTTGCATGTATAAATATTGCTCCATTCACCCACGAATTACTGTTTGAAGCAACAAAATCATAGCTGTTTTTTTTTCATATTTTAGTTTCTTATATGATATAATGAAGAGGGTATTAAAGCTCAACCAAGGATTCCCTTGCCAATGTTACTTAAGCTGTTCTTCAAATGCTGGTTTGAAAAGTTAGCTTTGGATCAATGTCAAAATGTCTTCATAATATTGAATGATCCTTCTCACTCTTCTATTTTCCTAATGAAAATATTGGTCTCCCTTTTGATCAATGTCAAAAAGTCTTCATAATGAACAATCCCTTGTGTTTTTATGCCTGATACATAAGTTGTCCTTGATCACATTACTTCAACTGGATTCCACCTTCTATCCGACAATTTGTGTTTGTAGAATCTGATGTGAAAAATTGCAAAATGGGGGCAATGTGTATCAGGAGTTTAAATCCTAGCCAAGGATTATTATCCAAAAGGGTCCAGCTAATTAAAACACTTGTGTGTGTGTGTGTGTGTGTATAAATATATAATATTCTCCTTTCATAACTTCACAGAAGCATGCGGTTTCCTTCTTCCCTTGTTTCTATGTTTTACACTCGTCACAATGAATAAGTGATAGAACTTGCACATCTTACTGATAACAGACCATTTTGCAAAATTTAACTGAAAGCAATAATCACCCAATCCTATACACTTAAGGTGTCAGATGCATTTCTCATGCTGTAACACTAGCGGTATAAATATGTTCGTGAAAACATATCAATATATTGCTCAGAACAAACAGAAATCACAGCTTGAATTTGCAAACCAGCATTAGAAGGAGGGAATGTGGCGCATAAATATTCATTAAATACGATGGATATATTAAATATTTAGGACTGACAAGGCAGATTTTTTTAACTATAAACAAGGTTGAAGATCTTGAAAAAACAGAGACATAATAATTCCTATCTATCTCCCACCAAACTTTGAGATAGTTACGTTATTGATGGAACATGTGACATTGTCATTTGGAGTTTGCTCTGCAGTACAAGACATGGTTTGCCTTAGGATGAACGCAGGTTAGCTTGGACGAGAAATATCCACAATATCACTTTGAAGCATTGACATTTACAGAAGCCATAGTGGGCCTATCTTTTGCAAGTTCTTGCACACATAGAAGACCTATATGTACGCACCTCAAGAAATCCTTGTCAAAGCCTGGATCATATATTTGTGGATCTATTAGAGGTATAACATTACCATTGAGTCATAATTTCCATGCCTAAAAAAATTAACAAAAAAGGAATTATAACTGTTATAATTTGATGTTTTGTCCTTCTTGACAAAGATATTCTAGAGTTATTTTATGAAAGGAAGATAAAAATAGGAGAGGCTTACGAATCCTAAAAGCATGAGAGACTCTGCATCTTCATAAAAGCTAGTATTTTTCCTTCCAATAATAGTCTCTAGCAACAAAATGCCAAAGCTAAAAACATCAGATTTCTCAGAATACAATCTTTCTGTTGCATATTTTGGAAAAATGTAGCCACTACGTTTAAACAATATATCTTTGAGCTTTCTGCACGTCATTGATATTATTATCTTGGGCAAAGGAAAAGGGATACTTGCTATGTTCTAACAATTCTTTTAGTGGTTGGTTGATCTTCACCTCCTCCAAAATGTTTAGCTAGCCCAAAATCTGATATTTCTGGATTCATTCTTTCATCTAATAAAATATTACTTGCCTTCAAATCCCACTTCATTGAAACTTAGAAATCAATTCCACTTCGTTGACAAATTCATCCATATCCTGTCCAGATGATCTAGATAATCTCTTTATTGCAATTTCCTGACCATCTTCAAACTTTCCCTGCAATAAAATAATTTTAAAAAAATAGGTAATCATGTATTGAAAGAAGATAAACTTTAAAAAAATAGAAAAAACGAAAATCACCTTGTAAACTGGACCAAAACCACCCTGTCCAAGTTTTTTATTGCAGTTGCCAACTTTCTAAAATTGAACAATGGTAGCTCTTGAATTTTGACTTGCTTCAGGTTTGTTATCTTATTGCTGTTGTGAATTTGGGTATGCCTTTCCCCTCTGATTTACCCATCTTTCTCCCTATAATTTCATTCAAAAACATATACTGCTATTCTAATTCCGGGTTCCTCTACATGAGTAAACCATATGAAGTTCTATATCAAAATGATGAAACTTAAATGTTCTCTAGATTCTCTATGATTATGAAGTTTCTTTGTATCAATTCTACGTGAAACAATGTGCTCTCTCTGTTTCTTTCTGTCTCCTCCCCCTCTTTATCTATTTTCTTCTTCTTCTTCTTCTTCTTTTTTTTTTGGGGGGGGGGGGGGATAAAAATTAATGGGGAAATTTGACTTCAGTTTTCAAAGAAGGATTTATCCCCCGTATCATTTATTAACATGAGTTAAAATCAACAATAATTTCTAACTTGAAAAATTATTAGATTTTGTGCAGAATTACCTTATCAGTGACTTGCCTGTTTTACTCACTTTAAGCCCTTGTATTTCGTATATTTATGTCATGCACGTGCTTAACAATCGGAAACAAAACCATTGATCCCTTGAATGAGGTCTTAAATGAAATTGAAGCTCACCTTTTTGCTTTGACACTTTTCTCCATAAGAAATATCCAAAGGCAGTAATGAAAACTATTCCTATTAAGACTGATATTAGAATAGCTGTTGTCATTTTCCTCCTGTCTGTACCTGCATCAAAGGGAAGACCATTCAGATAATCTTCATTTTCTGATGAGATAAGTTCAACGCTATACCTTGTATATTATCATTAAAAGAGGTTGAAAAACAATAAAGTTTCCCGGGTATCCAAAAAGAAAAAACGGCTCCACGTTATAATTCTAACGAAGAACCTAATAATATAAATTGCAAATAAAAATAGAAGTGCCAGTGTTTACATGGATATTTAACATGACATGATGTCTGAATTAGTCATAAAATAAAATAGATGATGCTTGACTTAAATTTGAAGCTTTGTTCTTGGGTGTCATGCACAGGTTGGAGGAAAAGCACAATACCTAGCTCTGAGTGGGCCAAACGTATATAAAAATCAACCCCTCCGAATGGGAAGATTTGTAGGTCAAGTAAATCTACATTCCAAACCATACAACCAAGGCTTCTGTCATAGGCATAAGCCATGCAAGAGCAATTCCTTAGGCACATAACTTGACCATCTATAATATCCCCAGAGTTAGAAGGTAGCATTTCTGCATGGTCTAGTGATTTTATCCTTTCCAGCTTAAAAAACCCATCTGTTTTGCTAGCTTGAGAACCTTTTTTGTCTCTTCCACACTGAAGTGTTTCTCTTCTAATGCACCCACTAGTCCATTTCTGCCTTGCCCATTCTTCTTTGTTCTTTGGTTCAAACCCTTCCAAGCAGCCGCAGATTAGTGAGCCCTGCTTATTGCAGATTCCATATGGGCCACATATGCCATAAACATTACACGTAGAATGAAAACCTTTCCTCCGAGTTTCCCAAATATTTGCCCTAGAATTCCAAATCATTGGTTTCACTATGCCTTGAGAATCTAATATGATGGTCATCAAGATAGACTTGTTTATGTGATCATAAGATATGTTATAAATCTCTCCCTCTTCTTTAATCTGAACACCACTCTTGAAGATAGATTGAGTCATCCAAGATATTCCAATGAAGGCTATGCCATCCCAGGGACCAGATTGCCAGCAAGGATGATTTTCTTTCCACACGACTATTTCAGTGACATTACGTGGTTCAAGACTGAAAGAAAATCCTCCATAGGATGGATCGTATGTACTTTTCCATGATGCAAGTTGCATCTTCTGGCCTGTTTTTTTATTGGGGTCCAGTTTCATGCCTTCTAATAATGCATTGCTAGGATGCTGGAAACTCTGCCACAGGACTGCAGCAGTAGTTCTATCCATGAGGACAAGATTGCCAGAATCTAAGAGTTGAGCACTCGAATTTGATGCCGTTGAGACATTTGTTGACCAAACAACCTGTTCTTGCCCATTCAAAACAAGAAGATTGTGATTTCCTGATATTGTCAGAATCCCAGAAGAATCTGTTAGTGGATCGTTTTTGTTAGCCACCCAAACAACAAAGGATTCAGACATAAACCCAATTTCTAAGTAGCAACTTGTGGAATTCTGAGGTCTGAAAAATGCCGGAGTGAACATGCCATTATTTGAGCTCACCGTTTCAGGTTCTTGGATCAACACAGATAGCGCGACGGTGTCCAAGCCACTAATCAGAAGAGTAAAAGCGAACAAATATATGAGAAAAGCAAGTAACAAGCAAGTATTTTCACTGAATCCCATGAAAAGCATGATGATGATCAGAAATATAGAAAGAAAATGGGTTTGATCGTCAAACACTGCAAGCAGTGCTAGCGATCTTATAATATTTCTACATACAGTACAGCTACTGAATAATCTCATATTCATCGATCCTAGTCTTCTAAACATGGTGTGAGCAACAGAATTTTGACGCGTACCTGTCATTTTCTTGTGTTTCTCTAGCCTCTGAGCCACATATTTAAAATTGAAATTAGCAGAGAAAGTGGTCTTGTCTGATCACAAAATCAACAGAAAAGGTTCAGTCTTTTACACATCCAAAAGAGAAAAATGTAACGTCCAAATTGTTTTCTTTTCTAAAACAAAACTACCTCTCTGACTAACTAATTTGCATCTGAAAGAGACATATCAACTTGGAAAGTTGCAATCCTAAATCTAATAATATCTTTCCTTTATGTCAATCTTGAGGTAGGAGGAGACTCTAGTATTTCTAATAGGATTAGGAATAGATTTGTCTTTCCGCCTATCTATATAACTTAAACATGTACCAGTCTGGTCCTTTTTATTAGTCCGTCTTCAGAGAAAATGTTGGTCCTTAATGTAAGTCCATCCTAAGGATATTAAGAGGTACTTTCCAATTTTGCCCCTTCTTAAATGCAATGAAAAAGTACAGGATGTTTTGATTGGAATTTGACTTCTTGAACCTCTTGTCTCTCTCTCTCCTTTTCTAAAGTTTTCATTTTCGATGGTCATTATGCTTTGTGCAGTTGAGTGTCTTTTTCATATCTACTCTAGTGACAAGCTGAACCACCCCCCTCTTGTCCTTTTCTCCCTATCTCTTTGTCTCTCCAACTTTTCATTTTCTGTGCCCACACTACTTCATCCATCCGAGTGTTTGTTTTCATGCCCATACTGCTTCTTTTATTCCAATCAGATTTGGTGATCCACTCGAACTGCTCGTCTCCTTATTTGGCTGTTGTGATGAGAAACAACAAGGAGTTGATTACAAGAGATGAAGTTTCATATGATTGGGTAGTAAAGGATTCTGAAGACAGTGAAGATTCTGTTATACCATCTCATTTGCCGCACGATATGCCGTCTAATCTTGTCATTAGTCAAACATTGCCAAAGCAAAGAGGAGATGATTCAGATATGAATGGTGACCTCTTCCATTTGGTCGTTGAAGACTCTCTTGAGCGTGAGGGATGCCAAGTCAGTCCATTCGACTTGAACCAGCTACCAGAGGAGGAGGAAGTAGAGTCCAAGATGACAAACATGGTTTATGGATCTGATGAAACCATCTCTCTCAGGAAAGACTATTGTGAAATTAACCTTAACAAATTTTTGGAGGATGAGTGCGATGAGGATAACGATGCAGAGAAAGAGCAAAAGCGATTCATAGGGTCAATGTTGAAACTTTATTTTTTTGATTTTTATTGAATGTACAGCTATATTAATATTATGACGAAGGAAAATGGTTTTTGGTTGTTGATGATGTCGTTTTTGGCCATCTGGCTTTTGGTTTTGTTGAGGGTGTTCTGCTACTTTTCCGATAGAATCTAAGTAATTCAACACTATATTATTAGTTTTAGTCTAGTTTGGAGCCAAATGTAAAGTTTAATCATGACTTATTTATATTTTTTGAAGAAAATGCTAAGACTTTGTCAATGTCTTTTCTTGCAAAAGAAATCACATATCAAATATATATTCAATCACTTAAGACCATATGCAAAAAAATCACATATCAAAAAATGCACAGAGAATGATATTGTTTTACCACCATGACATTACTAATGAAAATTCATTAAGTTGCAAAGTTCCTAACTTTAAACTAATTCAGTTAGCCCACATGACATTGTTCAACCTATTGTAATTAAAATTAGTAAGCTTAAACTAAGAGATAAATTGACCATACAATAATTTAAACAAATAAACTTAAAAAGAGTATTTCATCCCCTATTATGGTATCATGCATCTACTTCTTCTAATTGTGCCAAAACTTCTTGTACTATAGATGTATCACACTTCAATTGATTTGGGAGTCCACCTTCTCTTTGTACCACATATTTGAACCAATGAGGGCGTTTACACCTATTTGAACCTCTAGCCTTCATAACTTCCACCATAGTTGCTTGCAAAGTTAGGAAGATTTTGTTGAGAGGCTTTAATAAGATTTCTTCACAGCATCAATGAGGGCATCTACAGTTTTGGGTGCTTTTTTGTGTTGTAGTGCTTGAATTGCATTAAAATAACCAAGATCTAACACATTTAAGTTTGGAGAGTTTGGTGGTTGAGACATCAAATGAATGTCAAATCCACTATCACAAGTAACCCGACGAAACTCTTCATCATTATCATTTATGTGACATGGAACATTGTCTCGTTGTATGATAATTGTTTCTCCTACATCATCCCTTGGCCATTTTTCCTTTATTGTAGGTAACATCATATTGCAAAGAAAGTTTCTGCATACTTCTTTATTAATCAATGAAATTGGCTTTGCTACCAAAGTACCCGCATCTCTATTTACGCTCATTCTCTTTGTTGGCTCATAAGTCACAAGAGGGAAAACACCAATTTTGCCAGAAAAAGTTTCATTACCATCACCATCAAATCTAGGTCTAGCCAAAGCTAACAAGAACATAACCTTCCCAATGTAGTTCTTATTTTTGCACATTCGATGTGGATCCTCTTCAGTAGCTTCCAAATAATAATTGTACTTCTTTTTAGTCATGTAAAACCATTTTTCATGCATATGTATAATGTTATGCATAGATTTGAAGGTTGGACCATCTGATATGCTATAATCTTCAAGCATTGATAAGCAAAACCACAATCGAGAAATCATATTTTCATATTAAGAAGGGTTTGATTGTGTTTGTTTGACGTCGTATAACCTTGGCCTTCATTAATCTTATAAGTGATGTTTTATTTATTTGTAATGCAAATGATAGAGACCTAAGTGTTGTCCGCTGTCGAAGAGGGACCTCATGTAAGCATTCCTCATCCAGCTGAATTCTCTTACATCCATAATTTTTGGTCTTCCTATGAGATGCTTCATTTGTTTCCTTCATTCGATGCCATATTCGCTGAATAGTTTTTCTGCCAACGGAGTACATTTATGCTATCTTATTCATTGTACCCGGCATTAGCTTCCCATTTGCAAATGACTTCAGCAAGATATTACTTATCACTCTCTGTTCTTCATTTGTTAGAAATTTTCTTCGCTTGATTAATGGTTGGCTTGAAGACTCTCCTGTTTCATTCATAGGAAAACACAAGTAATAAATGATATCATGTATTCAACAACAGGTATGCGGAATATGTTATAAGTATGTGACTGCATAATATGATTTTAGTATGTTTAGAATAACAAAATTACTTTGCTTTAGGAAGTACAATAGCATTATTTCAACTATCACCTTGCTTATAGATTGACATTGTCTACTAGTTGAAAAGGTATGCTCATACATTGTTACAATTTTTCTACTTGTTTAATGAATTAAGTCACTGATTCATTTAAATTTCAATGTAATGTTGTTTTTTCAATTTTTGGCTGATGTTGGTTCAGTTTATTAAAGCTTTAATAAACGATCACATTGTCAAAGGTGAATAAAGCATCTTGAGTTTATTAGCATTGCATTGGTTGAGTTTATCTTCTTTTGCTTTCTTTATCCAATATTGGAAAGTTTTGTTTTTCACATTGAAAAGTATCATACCTCCTATTGCAGTGTTTAACTCGTCTCTTGTAGGTTCAGCTATTTGTGTGGTCGTGCTCTATTCCTCCTCAAACTCCATATCTTCGTGTATATCATTGTCATCTAGGAATTCATCTTCCAAACTTATGTTCAGGTCCATTCCATGTTGGTCACTAAAGGCATTTTGATTGTTGTGTGGTTGGGGAACATCATCATTCTCATCACTGCACACTGGACGGGTGTTCAAGTCTGGTAAGCAAGATTGCATGTTCTCTATTTCTGCTTCATCCTAACAGAGCCTGTTAGAATCACCTAAAATGGCCGCATCTTCATTTTGTGAACCTGGGTGAATGTTTGAGTTTACAATCTCATCCATTTCATCTTCCAAACATGGTAAGAGGTTTAAATCTATTGACTCTCGTTTGTGGTCTTTCATGAGATCAAGTGTGGAATTTTCATGCTTTCTTTTGGTTTACCTTTTATAAATGCAATACATTTTGGTGATTTTTAAAATATTCCTTTACCCGCCTCTTTTTTCCAAAATTTTTACACTCAAATAGCACTCAATCTGATTTTCAGGAAAACGAAAAGAGGAGGAAGGAGTTTTTTATGTTGGTATGATTGTTATCCTTTGGAAATTTTCAAACTCCAATCTGTTAGGCATGTTGGGAAGAGTGAAAGATGAGTGAGAGAATCATGATGCTATAAATTGTTAATAAAGAGAGAGAACGAAAGTGGTGGCTAGCGTCAGATAAGACTTCACATGGTTTTTTTCCTATTATTATAAAACCCATTATTATTCAATATACCAAGGGCAATCGTGGAAAAAAGTTTTAATCTCAGACATAATAAATGGCCCAACTGTCATGTATTGGTATGCGGGAATTGGTTAAAAGAGACCAATAAAAAGGACCAAGTGGTATGCTCTATATTACTATTCACATGAACAATAGTGGCTTAATTTAGCATTTGGACTCACGTGTTGGGTTCCATGCTAAAATCTTGTCTCGAAAGTAGAAGAGGGCAAACCAGCTTTATGACCGAAGAGCGTGCATACTGATTTTAATCTTTTCCCTATTCGAATTCCATGGTTTTAATGATGTTGATCAGATCATTGCGGGCATTTTTTTTTTCCCTTCCAACTGCACCAAAGTATAGAAACGGCAACAATTTCAGAAATGGCAGCAATTTTCATGTTCGTCTCTTTACTTTGTTTTTGTTTTTTAGGTTGAGGCATGTCCTATGGCTTACCTTTTGCTAAGTTTTTTTGCCATAAAACTATAGTTTTAGCATTCCACAAAGTTTTAGTCGTGTTTAAAAATAAGATGATTTTTTTCAACTATAGATAAAACTGTACTGAAAAAATAAATTGACATTTATATTCAACTTGGGTTTGCTAAATTTCCGATCAAATACTTCATGTCATTCTATTTCATATTGATATGTAATACTAAATGGTTCATTCTAAAAGTAGTTTTCACATCCATATAAATTATATTGAATTGATTTGTTAGAATAGCTATAATAAAAAGAAACTGCTGATTACACTTGAGTAAATCATCGCAGCATCATTATTTGTTTATAAATTATAATATTGTTTTGCTGCCACTATAGAGTGATAAAGGTTTCATAATAAAGTAAATTTTACTCATGCACTGCACGGGGAAGTCAATGCTAATTTGCATTAATATGTAAAAACTTTTATGTAATATCATTTTGAATGTCTTTTTCTTAAAAAAATAATTTACAGAAATTAAAGAAATTAATTAAATTAATTATTTATATAAAAAATATGTTTTGATTTTTTTAAAATAATTCCCAATCCTTTTTTGACCGATCATAAAAGAAATTAACTACCCCCTTTGTCTCCAAGCCTTCAAAAATTAATGAGGATGCACAAGGCCAATCATAGTTAAGGTCACGATTGGTAGGTGGGATTCATTTTTTATGGAATGGTAATGGGATTGGGAATGAGACTCTTATTTTATGTTTGGAAGGAATACTTGTATTTATTTTATTTTATAATAAGATATACATAATTAAAAGACTATAATACTCCTTTGTATTTTTGGGACTCCAACCTTGTGCAGCCGTATGAATGTGAAACAGCAGAATCATCTACACACACATATTTTTTCAAAAAAGTACATTAAATTTTGCCTGATTTTAAAATTAAAAATAAATAAAAATAGATAATATATCTTAAAAATCAGAAATGGATAGTTGGGAATAATAATTAATGTTGCTGTAAATGAAAAGCCTTAAGGTACGAAATACGAATAAAAAAAAATTTGCATAGATTCATCATCCTCAATATATAATGAGGCAAATTGAAATCCTTTTCAAAAAATTGCAAATTAATTAACTAACATATAAGCAACATTAACATTAGATAATAGAAAACAGAAATAACGGTAAACTAGAGCTAAACTTACATATTCTAAATCAAAAATCTAAATAGGGGCATTTTTGTCTTTTGAGTTTTTTAATCCTAGGATTTAAAAGCCATTACCATGGGGGAGGTGGGATTGTATAATCCCACATATGTGGTATTGTTCAATCCTTGGTAATCCTCAATACCTCACACCAAACATCACAATTTGATCCATCCCCTCCCCTTAATTCCACTTACCAAACGTGACCTAAGATCCCTTGCACTCAGTTAAAGGCAAATGGTCCCTTAATTCCTATACTTAGAGAAAAAATTTATAAATTAAAAGACAAAGTAAATCAAAATCTTATATCTAATATGAAAGCAAATCATTTAACTAATTTTTATATTTCGAGCCACAAGAATTAATAATTTTTGTTTACACATGTTTTCTCTCTTTTTAATATTTCTTTGTTTACTATCCACCCCAACCTAAAGTTATTATCATATTCTTATATTCATTAAGCAAAAGGTCTACATTTAATCTTTTAATTTTATATAATATTTTATTTTAACCCTTTAATTTTATAAAATATTTTTTCCAATTTTGACTCTTGCATTATTAAAAGAATGTAAATATAGAAATTTTAAATGTCACAAAATATTTTCAAATGCTCATATATTAAGTTTATTTTAAAAAATTAATAATTGTTAAGAAAACATTATTTGATATTAACAGTGTTCGGTTAGAAGAATATAAAAATATTTTATAAAGTTAAAGAATTAAACTAAAATCTTATGTAAAATTATACCTTCGAAGATGTATTTCTAATTTGAGTAAAATACTCTGACTATCTTTCTAGTTTGCATCAATTATAAAAATCTCCCACCTGTTTTAAAAACATAAAGTTTAGTCCAATTATTTAACATCATTAAAAATATTCTAAAAAGATTCTAAAAATATTATTTTTAACTGAAATTTATATTAAAATAAATTTTATTTACTATTTTATCCCTCGTTCTAATAAATTTCTAAATTATATCAATTTCCTTTAGTTAAGATAAACATCAAATATTAGATTAAAAATCTAACTAATTTTTTAATATATATATACTTGACTAAATAAATGTTTGTAACGAAGATCTGTTTAAAAGTTTTGAATTATAAATTTAAATAAATTTTTAGAATCTTTTTAAATAAATTATTAGAATTTTTTTCAGCTCTCTTGGCTCCCAGTCAATTTTAAGGCTACAAGAATCCACAGAACCTCGACAGAAGTGGGTCCAACAATAAACGCGCACACATTATAGTGCCGATTTTTCTTTGTTGGTGAACTTGAAATGATAGTGGAAAAGATTAAGGCAGGAACGAAGCATAACTTGCATATGTACAGCCTAATACTGTTGGTAGTTCTAGGAATAATAAATAATTATTAAGTTGTGAAGGTTAAATAGGAATACATTGAACTTGAAATATGTTTTTACAATTTGAAAAAATCAAAGTAAATAACTTCTAATGAATGTGATAAAATATATAAATTATAAAATTTTATGATTTAGATCAAAATAAATAAATTTTATAACATATTAGAAATTTTAAAAATAATAATAATTTTATAAAAACCGTTTTTAGGAAAAATAGATGTCTAAATAATTATTAGGTTA